TGGAAAAGCGATACTGTTTCAGGATTTAAATTTAAAAGTGGGATTTTAAAAGGCTAGAGACAGAATATAAAACAAAAAATTCTTAGCAGAAAGACCATTTCAGTCAAATTTCCTTTACTTCCCTGTCATTTGCTTACTCAGTGCCAGGACATATTTTTATTCTGTCAAGTCTTGTGTAATGTTTCAAGTGAAACATTGGTTTCTGACACTTCAACATATATTCTACAATAAGATGAAATTTTCATAGTTCAGATCTATCTCTTTTTTGCAGACTCTAAAATAAGAAGGATTTAAATAATAGAAGATAAATGTATTCTTAAATATATAAATCCAAAAGATGGCCAATCTCTTAAGATTTTATGAATAGTCTACTTTCATGGACTATTATCAAGAATTATCTAAGAATCACTCAAAATTAAATTGCAATTATCTACATGACTAAACACAAAGTCTTAAAATGCTATATTTTTCTTCAAGGCATTAAAAATAAGCATTAAAGATTGTATGTTCTCTGCATCTCTCTTGATTCATGTAGGCAACATCCTCAATTGCTATAGGGAAGCTATTCACATACAGTAAATATTGCATTTCCAAAAGTGATAAAATTGTATGTCACAGCTTTTTCTTCCAGATTGGGCAGATTTTATTTTTCAGATGATACTCCCAGGAGATCTCTCTTTTGATAGTGCAAGAGAAGGATGAATTAAAGTTTATTTAAATGCCCAATAGTCTAAGAAATGGAAAATAAATAGATAAAGGCTATTTTTATTACAATGTAGAATTCTATCAAAACTATAGATTCCTAAATAAGAACTTTAAAGTTTCCTGAAGAAACTTTTGCCCTGAAAGGATAGACTATCATTCCCAGATTTGTAGTCTTATAGGCCTTTTTTCTTCCTTCTTTCCTTCCTTCCTTCCTTCCTTCCTTCCTTCCTTCCTTCCTTTCTTTCTTTCTTTCTTTCCTTTCTTTTCTTTCCTTTCTTTCCTTTCTTTCCTTTCTCTCTCTCTCTCTCTCTCTCTCTCTCTCTCTCTCTCTCTCTCTCTCTCTTTCTTTCTTTCTTTCTTTCTTAGATGGGATCTCACTCCCATTACCCAGGCCAGAGCACAGTGGCACAATCAAGGTTCACTTCAGCCTCGACCTCCAGGGCTCAGGTGATTCTCCCCCCTCAGCCTCCCAAGTAGCTGGGACTGCAGGTGCATGCCACTATGCCTAGCTATTTTTGTTGTTGTTGTTAGCTATGGGGTTTTTACCATTCTGCCCAGGCTGGTCTCAAACTCCTGGACTCAAGCAGTCTGCCAGCATCTGCTTCCCAAAGTGCTAGGATTACAGGTGTGAGCCACTGTTCCTGGCAGAGACCCAATTGTCAGAAATATGTTGTGTGTTGAAAATGAGCAAACAACTGACTATTAAATAGGTTCAATATAAAGTAATGATTTGGATGTCTCAAAACAATCATTTGCTAAAGAAGTTAATTTTGTATTAAAATGTATACTATTTTATTAGGCATATGGAGTGATAAGTTCATTTAACTAGGTTTTAATAAAAATAACAATATGTAGTAATACCTAAAGAAAATCAAATGGAAGAAAGGAGATTAAATAAGAAAAATAAGACTTGTCTTCCTTCCACCCTGCCACCCAGTCCTCATCTTTTATAGTCTCCCCATCTTTCTTTTCCCCAACCCACCAAGAAGAAACCACTGTTACCAGTTACAACTGTGTTGTATATTCTATTTAAAAATCCTCTAGATTATACAGGTTTATACGTGATCTACCTATCTATCTTCTTTTAACACAAATATCCTGTTCTATAGTCTAATTTCGTTTGCACTTAATATCTCTTTGGTATCATTTCATATTAATGAATAAAGAACTACTTTTTTTGCTTTTTATATTGCAAGCTTGGTGCTCCTCCACCATGTGAATGAGCCGTAATTTTATTTTACTTATATAGATCTAAAGGGTACAAGTGCAGTTTTCATACATGGATATATTCCACACTGGTGAAATCTGGGCTTTTAGTGCAACCATCACTCAAATAGTGTATGCTGTACCCACTAGGTAACTTCTCATCCCTCATTACTCCCACATCTTCCCATCTTTCTGAGTGTCCAGTGTCTATTTTTACGCTATCTGTGTCCACATATACACATTATTTAGCTCCCACTTATCAGTGATAATATAGAGTATTTGACTTTCTGTTTCTGAGTTATTTTACCTAAGATAAAAATGAGCCATAATTTTAGAAATGGCTGTTTCCTAAATAATATACATGTTTGGTTAGAAACTACACTGGCTTTTAAAGGCTCAAAATAAAAAATTCCACCTGCTGTCAACTCGATCTCAATTCCATTGTATTTCTCGGAAGAATTTCATAAACAAAGAAAGAGCTCCCCCCAAAATGTAGAGGTCTCAGTTCCTCTGCTCTGCCTCAGGGAGCTTTAAAATCTTGAGAAAACAAACTCTCAAAATACTTAGATCCTTGACATGTAAAATGAAAGTCGGTAAAATTATTGATGGATATTTCTTCCACCTTAACACTTAATCAGTACTTTCAAAAAGTTTTATGTTGAACATGCATTAATTCAATACTTGGTCTTTATAAACTTCATAATAAGCAACTTTAAGAAGACAGTCAGGACAGGGAAAATTCTTGATTAGAGGAAGTTCCTGTATTTGACCACTCACTTGCACGAGTCATAGATATCGTCTGTAGGCCTCTGCCTGTTGCTTGATAAAATGGGATTCTTGAGTCAGCAAGTACATTCCTGAGCTAGTCTATTGGAATTTCTTGTGTCCTTCTCAGGTTTTTATTTTAAGACCATCAGTGGGAATTATTTCCCACAATGGAACTTAGGGAGAGGACCGATCTCAAAAGTTTATTTAGTTCCAAACTTGTCATATCATAACCCACAAAGTCATCACCTACTACCAGAGCTCACAAAGCAATGTAAATAACAGAGTGTAGAGTCCCCACTCTTCTGAGCCACTTAACTCCCAGAAGCTCCACAAGCTGCCACCCAAAGATTCAGGCTTCTCCAAGACATCTTGGTTTAAGACATAGTCCACTCCTTTAACTTAATAAAATTTAAATTTTTTGTTTAATTGTTTAAATGTTTTGTTTTTAAAAGTTGTTGACGTCTTCACTATCCCCAAATTTAGATTCTTCGTGGGACTTCGTGTTTCTCAGACCATGCTTTTCTATTTGTTTTCCTCTTTACTCATGCACTTTATCATTTAACAGCATTTTACTGAAAATGCTACTAGAACTTGATAGTGTAGAACTATATTCTGAAGGGTTACAAATGGAGGAAAGTAATTTAGTGTGTCTGTAAGCATACTTTGTTTTGGTAGGAAAAAAAGCTACCTAATCACATTCAGTGTAGCTAAATATCTGAAGTGTGTCACCTTCTCAATAATACAGCCTTCCTTATTCTTGATGTTGACACTGGATGTCATAAAGGTTTCAGCCTGGGTTTCTCCCTCATTAGTTGCCACTGCATGCCCTAATGCTTCTCTGTCTTACAGTAAGGCCCACTGAATTCAAAGCCAAAGGTCAGGACCCTTTCCCAAATCTAGATCCTGCCCCCAGGACTTTCTGTCCACAGATCGGGTGCATATGGAGAGTTCTCCTAATGTCCTGCACTTCTGAATTATCTGCGTTCTGCTTCGCCCACTGGGCTAACCCTCCTGATATCAATCCACGTATTACATTCATGGGAGCTTGCTATGCCCGTTAGGTACTATGCATCGTGCCACCCACTGGGACAGTCATCTGAGGCAAAAGGAGTTTCCCTAGGTCCTTTCCCACTTTAAAGATTAGTCTTTGGCTGGAACTTGGTTACCCGTTTCTTAACAGCTTGCATTGTTCCAGCTGTAGCATACTTCATTCCTGAATCCACCAGAGTTACCAGAATAATATTTGAGGAAATTCTTCATAGCAACTAAGTCTCCCTTTTCTGGCCAGGTACTCATATCTTGGGCTGGCAGTATTGCACTTGATAAAGCTGTGTTGTCAAGGAAGATACTGATTCCTCCAAGACGGGACTGATTGCCTGTACTCTTTTTGTCATAATACTTTCTATTTACACCAATAAGCACTTTTTGTATTATACTGCAATTGACGGTCAAAAATTGTGTCCTGTTCACTATTATCATAGTCCAGTGTCTAGCACATTGCCTGGCTTGTAAAAGTGCTCTGTAAATATTTGCCAAATAAGTAAATGAATGAAAGTTGGAGCTTAAGGAGAAAGAAAATCATAGAGAGTGAAATGTGAGGAAGCAGAGAGCAATACAGATGCAACATAATCACCACAGATAATTTCTCCAAAAGGTTTTTGAGTTAGAAATTAGTCTGGCAGATAGCCATGAGGAAACCTTGTATAAACTTGCCCATGTATGGCAATACACTAAGTGGCAATGAGTGAAATAGATTCTGAAATAAAGAACAGGGCAATTTTTGAGAGAAAAAATGTGTTATAAAGAACAGTTGGGGAAGGAATATAAATGCACATTATCACAGATTGTTTCAGAGGCACTAACATGCATGATGGCAAAATGATATTAAAAGAATAGATAATCCTATGTGCTGTGCTATGTGTGTTTCTTTTTAAGGGATGGCTTTAATGAAAAAAACTATGATATAATGTTAGCTGGAAACTAATGATGTAAAATTGCCTACATGATACAAACAACACCACAACTGCAAAAAAAAAAAAAAATGTGTGGGGTTAAAAAGAAGGGAAAATTCTCAAAATAGCAACAGAAAAGAAAAAATTATAGGTGACGTTTTCTACTTTTTAGTATTTTTCAAAATCTTAATATATATTTCTGTAATTATTTACAGTTTCTATCTTTTTTTTACATACATTAATTTATTTAACATAAAAACTATGTAGTTCCCATAGCAACTGGACAGGTTGCAAATCTGTTTCCTTGGGTAAATATAACATTAACCATTAACTTTTTCAAAACAATATGGCAATAAACTCATCCTGAAATAGTTTTTAGTGCAAAAACCAGTATCACCATGCCTTTAAGATGAGCACTAATTATTTTCAAAGAAAAATATTTCAATACTTTAAGATATTTTAAGACAGAGATTGGTGTTTTTCTCTACTCTATAACAAGTGTCTTCAGGAAGTATGAGCACTCAGACATGTTGAGTAAGGGGCCTTATCTATCCTTTTCTATCTACAAATGAACAACCATGTATGCAGACACATAAACACATAACACAGACACACATATGTCAAGGGTCATATATGAGTCCACAGCTAGCTTTGAAAACGGAAAAAGTATATAAATGGGGTCTAATTGGGCAAATAAACTATTTACAATCTCTATAAGTCAAATAGAAGATTAAAAATACATCTGTGGACATATTTATGTGTATATATGTGTGAAGTGTATACATATATGTACCCTTGCATTCAAGGATCTAAGTATATAATAAAGTAGATCAGATTATTTCTCTACTTTTATTTTTCAAATATTAGGGAAACTGAGATACATGGTACTAGTGCAACTTTTGCAGTTTAAATTGTATCCATCTTACTTTTAATAATAGGGTTACAGAAGTTTTAAAATCAAATTATAAGCATTTGTATAAATAAAATAGCTATTGTTTCTGATCATAATGTCACAACTAAAATCACAGATAATATGACTTCGGGGAAATGTCAATTGAAAGAGGTTCAACTTACATTAACAGAATACTGGCCACCAGAAAAAGTAGTAGAAGATCAATTACTAGAGCATCCTTCCTTTTAATTTGTTTTTAAATTGTAAATATTCATTATGACCATCATGTACAAAAAAATATATCTTGAATTATAATAGCTTCTGCAATGCATTTTCTGGCTTCAATAATTAAGTTTCAAACCCACAGAAATTAATTGGGTTTAATAAGAGAACTTCATAGAATGTAAAGTTTTCAAATATGGATGAAAGAATGTAATGAGGTTAAAATTGACTCTAAGCCTTAATTAAAAAATACATACATATCAGAATATCATAGGAAACCCATAGAAAAATCAGAATTTTGCTCTTCATGTAGGTGGTCAACATGATATGAATTTTATTAAATCACTTATAAAACATTTAAACAGTTGACTAACAAATAATAAGTTAACGTTTACATGTTAGTCTTTTCACATCATAGAAGTTCGTTTCTTACATGTGTCACACTCTGATTCCTGTGTTAATCATCCCTATGTAAGTGGTTTTCCAATGTGTGGTGATTCAAGGACTTACAATTATTCCCCTTTGTTGCTTCACCTCATGAAGTCTCGGAGCTCCTCCACATATATTTGACAAAGTGGGAGAAAAGAGCATAGGGGCGGCACATCTACACATTTTGTAAATACACTGGCCCAGTAGTGATGCAGTGTATACCACTGCCACTCAAATTCCACAAGCAACAACTGCTCACACAACCCATGGTGTTGCAAGAGTAGTATACAGTTGCTAGCTAGGCAGCCACTTCCCAGCAAAAACTCAATACTACAGAAGGAAAATAAGAATTTTCACGGATATATCATCATATCTACCTTCCCAGCAATGATAATAACAATATTTTATTAATATTTGGTTACTTTGAGACAGATAATATATTCTTTGATATGCTTAATATATATAATTCGACAACCCTATGGGCTAAGAAATATTCTTGTAAGTATATTATACATGAGGAAATAGGCACAGGAGCTGTTCCAGAATATTTTTTATAAAAGGACTTTCTTATGGTAGAAATTGAATCTTATTCTAATTTTCATTAGAAATGATAATTTTTACTTACATACAATATCAAAAGGTAGTAGATCACAAAATAAATATTTTATTTTAAAAGGTAATGTTGAATGTATCATGAAACAATAATTAATTTTCCTTTTTATAGTCAATCCCACTTTTTTCATATATAAATTTGTTGATTAGTAAATGTTTTCAAATGCTGTTTGTAACACACACTAAAAATTCAATTGTTGTATGTTTCTATCATGTGAAGGGATAATTACCAAACCGAGTAAAATGTCAATTTTCTTTATACACCAACACTTCTAATTTGAATAATTTAGCCCAGGGACTTTAATGATTTCTGTCAGTCTGCTTTGGATTTGACAAGCAAATTAGGAACAAGTTAACTATTTACCTGACGAATTAGCGGCCTGCCTGTGGTCATTAAAGACACATTATTTTAGAATGACTATAAATTTTCAAAATTGCTGAAGTTATAACTTATACTAGAAGATATTTAACACACACATATTATTTTCCTTTTCCATTTTTACATATTGTTATCTTACATTGTATTATTGCTCTTACCAGCCAAATAATTAAAGATCAAGGCTCATAATGCTTGTAGTTGTACAGAGTTTTGAATTAGGTTTGTATTTTATTACATTCAACAGAGAACACAACCTATAGGTGCTTAATCATGTAGGTTACCCACTTTTCTCATATCATAAGTTAGCTGAGGGTAGTGGTCCAGAATGGTGCAGCATATTCGTGATGTCAGATCCCCAGGCTGCTGTTTTTCTGCTCCCACCATCTTAAACATGCAGTCTTTCATCATGGTTGCAAGCTTGATCCTACGCTGCCAGCCATCACATCTGTGTTCTAGACCGAAAGCAGTAGGAAATGCAAATGGCAAAAACGCTTTGTCTTAGCAAGTTTTACATTTTTAGTTACGAAGGAACACCGTCCCTGGGCCTTCCTCCTGCATCCCACTGTCTAGTACTGGGTCACATAGCCACTTGCAGCTACAAGAGAGTCTGTTTTTAGCTAGATACCTTATTGCCTTAAATGAAAATCAGAGTTCCCCAAGGACCAAAACATTAAACTAGTAGTGGCCTATTTCAATTCTTGAGAACCACATCTAACATTTTGACTTTTCAATTTTACTTTAAAGTTAAGACAAAAGCATGCAGCCAAACTTTCCTGAGTGATAATAATTTATTCTTTTGACATCTTTCAGATATTTTCAAACACACTGTGAAAGTTGCCACTTAATACATTATATGCTTTGTAAAAATAGGTTTATTGCCATTTTAAAACTTTTCTGAAAAAGATAATTTAACTCAGATAGGACTTTGATTCATTAAAAGTTCTGGCCCAGTGAAAATTTTATTTTGATTTTTTGAATAACTTACTATGTTAGTCTTGAAATGTGTTTTATCACTTTCAATTATATTTTCAAGTCTTATCCAAATGTTTTGCTATGTTATTTATTTAAGACTATATGTTTTGAGGAACTTGTTGTGATTACTGACATAAACTATTTGTCCAAATGCTCACAACATAGTAAATCAGTATTAAAGTAGAAATAATATTATTCTTTTATAATTACATTTTTACTTTTATATCTTTTTAAAACTGCTTTCTTTCTGCTTTATTTCAGGAAATGAGAACAAACAAGTCAGTCTTAAATTTTATAGACTCATGGCTGTATGTTCAAAAGATGAAATCATACCTCTAACTATGAAAAGCTAGAAAACAATGCTGGCTGAAGATGTAGCTGAAGCATATAAACAAGATACAGTTTTGAGATCATCTCTGGGTTTAGAGTATATGCCAAGGCAGACCTTACTATGGTGGTAAATTGAGACCTAACTATACACACAACAAGGCCCGTCTGAGAACTCCTTACATGTAGTCAAGAAGTTGGTACTTCACCTGTCTCAACTCTGTTATTTAGTCTTTAAGTAGCTTTCCTTGAACAAATACAAAATGTGGAAAATAAGAAAGCAGGATTTATTTGATCAATAAAAGTAGCACTCCCTTGTTTAGTCTATACATTGAGAATTATCTTGCTTAAAAATATGCAAATTGGTATTAACTAATTCTAGGTAAAACCTCAGGAAATTAATCATTGTTATAATTTCTGATTTATGCTTGAATATTCTTTAAAAATTGGAAAAAAAAACCATGTTTTCAGGCATTAGCATCCTGTCTTCAGATTCAATTCTTTGTAGATGCTCTCAACCATTTTCACATATAACTAATATTTAATATTCTTTATTGCCTTGGATTAGAATCTTATAGAACTAAGAGAACATTTCAGACTTGATCATTTTAGTCAATTTAAATTCTCCCTGGTTTAGACTCAACATCCATTACTGTACATGGCTCGACATATAGAACAAATTGTAAATTTAGTTAATTCTCCCACATCTATTCATATGGACAACAACAGAAAGATACTAACCCTGTTTATTGTTTCTAACATGTCAAGCCCTATGTTAAGTACATGGTTATCTCATGTAATCTTCACAGTAGTCCCAGCTATTACCATTTTCCAGATTAAAAATCAATGATAAGAGAATTAAAACAACTTGGTCAAGGACACAGCATACCAAAGGCATAGTTAAAATTTAAGAACTAACAGAAAACCAATGAAGTTTACATCTAATAAATCTAATTTAATAATAAAATTCACATGAAGTCAGGACGGGTATGTGATGAGAAATGTGGCCAATGATTTCTAAATCATTTCCCTCCTGCTGATATACGAGCTAAAATGCGAAAGTTTTGCTTAATCTTAAAATGGAGACAGGGAAAGAAAAAACAACAACAACAAAAATCAACGTAAAGGAAATGATTGTGTTAGGAATAGTATAGTATAAACCAGTTAATACTACTTCCAGTGACTTTAGATTTGAATCAAACTTTACGTTGACATTGCTGGATTCTAAGAAAAATCAGGGAAATGTGCATGATAAAAACTGTTCAGCAGGTATGAGTACATATTAGTATAGATCAATAACTTTTCTTAATCAGGTGACTTTGAGCATACTGTCTAGATTCTGAAGGCAGAACAGGGCAAGAAGAGACAGAGTAGTATAAGCAGGATCTGTATGAAGTCTGCAAGCTAAAGAGAAGTTGTTTTATTTGACGATTCCCAGAAGACCAGATATTATCCTAGAAAATTCTAAGACTAATCCTAAAATGTAAATAACATTTAGAAGTAACCTGAGGTCCTATAATGTGTGTGTGTGTGGTGGGAGTGTGGGCGGGGGTTGGAGGGGTGCTGGGAGAAGGTAATGAATAAGAGTTTGCCTCAGAGTCTTCCATCTTAAGAAGCAGTTTAAGTTGTACTGAGACAGCTTGCCTGCCAATAACTTTTGTTGCAGACCTTAGCCTGGGGAAACATTTAATTTTGTAAGATTTGGGGTTGTTTTCTCATGTTACTGAAAGTAAGAAAGTAAAAGGTTTATGCCTTGGGGTTGTTTGCCCAGACTAGAAACTGTGACATTAAGCTCAATCCCATTTTGACTTAACTGCTTCATTTTTGACTCCTATTCCTCCAAATTGGGATTTACTGATCTGTGAATGTCATAACATAACCAGTAAAATAAAACAGATTTAAAGAGAAGGATTAGACAGTTCGTTCACATTTTCTAGATATAGAAAGTGAACGGGGAGATTCTCAAGGATGTTTGCGGAAATATTTTCCTAACGTGATTTTAAATGTTTGATCTTTTTAATTTTCATTTTTAGGTCTTTTGACAGGAAGTTAAGGAGAAGTAAAGCAACTAGAAAAAAATTCACCTTATAGCAAGAATTTCAAATAAAAAATGTTTGAGTTCCACATTATAAATCACTGCGTTACTTTACTTGGAAATTCGGTTTATACTGAATTAAATGATTAATGAGGAATAGTTGCTTTTATGTAAAATTGAGTTAATTTAATTATTGAGCTTATTTAACAATTTTTCATAAGGTTCTCTTTACATGTTGCTTATAAGGTCAGAACAAGAAAGTTCAGTAACAACTGTGCAATCCAGTGTGGCAGCCATTAGCCACATGGATCATTTAAACTTGTATTTTAATTAAATACAATTTAGGATGCAGTTCTTCAGTAGCATTAGCCATCTTTCAAGTGTTCAATACTCACATGTGGCTAGTGACAATCTTATTGGAGAGCCAAGGAGAAAGATCACTTCCATGCTTGCGGAAAGTCCACCTAGACCAGAACAGTGAAACAGCATGGGCTCTAAATTTAGATAGACCTCAATTTAAAATCATCAGCTGAAGTTAATGCCACTTACAAGTTAATTTATCTGTGTCACAATTTTAATGTTCAATTCACAGGCAACATTTTCTGTACCGTGTCATTGTTGTTAGGATTCAATGTTGTGACAGTCTCAGTTCAGAATGTCCCAGTTTAGGAAGTTTGCATTGTGAGAATTAAAAGCATAAACTCTGAAGTCAGAAAGGCCTGTGTTTGAAGCTAAGTCTGCTCCTAAGCAGCTATGTGATTTGGGCAAACTACTCGATTTTCTAAACAACCAATTCTTTAGACTGAGATAACAATAACTACGATATAACAGGCATTGTAAGAATTAAAGAATTATCTGAGAAAATACAAGTAAAATACTTTACATAATGCATGGCACCTATTCAATAGCCACAGGCTAGTAAGTGTTCAAAATGTGAATTACCTGTTATATTTAAGACAAATTTGTATACCACAAAATAACTTCCATAAATTTCATAAACTAAAACATAGAAAGTATAAAATGCCGCCAAATAGAGAAATCACAATAATAGTAATAATTGTCTCTGCTGCTATTATTAAAGAATAAGATATTCCAGTAACTCAATTCAGTCATTATTAAAATAGGGTTTTTTCGTCAACATTTTACTGATTGCCAGTGTTTTAAATAATGCTTTTTATCTCATCATTATCTTGATTCCTTCACTTAAGAAAAAATAAATTAACAAATATATATTTAATGTATGTTAACATAAACTCAGTACAATGGATTCCTTTATTGTAATTTCATTTTAAGTGAATAACTGTCCTTTTGCCACATACTAAGGTATCTTAAGAGATAATAGGTTGTCTCCTTACCACACCTCAATTTTGAAAGCTGACATTCACTCTAGGTCCTGTGGACACAAGAGTTAAATTTTAAAATGGACCACAGATGGGATTATTTTATTTTTAAGCACTTCCACGTATGCACATATGCACATTAAATCTACTTCACAGGAAGCCCTTAAGTGTTTTTAATCGCGGTTTGGAAAAGCCTTGAAATTCGAAAAGGGAAGATTTCAATGCATTGGTTGGTTTGTGGTTTTACCACCATGATTTTTATATGTGTAGGTTTTTTAGAGATGATATTTAAACTTTATACTTTCACATTCTCATTTTAATCTATAAATCTTTTACACATTGAAATATAGGTGTGTGCACATTGAAAAATAGGTGTGTGCATATGGCTTGGAGCAATGAAGTATTTAAAAGACATTTAAGGTTAAAAAAATAAGTATTTGTGTAGTAAAAAAATATGTAAGGCTTGTATGGTTTGTTGAGAAAGAATATTTAAAATGGAAAATAAAAGCTACCTTAAAATACGGAAGAGTCTCACCAAAAAGTTTGCACAAGGTACTTGGTAGAGCATATATATAATTGTTAAAAATATTATTTTTTCATTTAAGGTTGGTATGCTTTTCAGAAAAGAGTAAAACATCTGTATTGTTAGCAATTCAAACAGTTTCTAGATTGACTACCATGGAACTGAATACTATATTGAGTTTTTCTGGCTTAAAATGTCAAAAACAGTGATGGGTAATGCCCTTAAGAAACAGTAGAAAGAGAACTGGTGCAGGAAAAGCCATTTAAGCTTGTCCGGGGCTATTATGTTCATGTCATCGTATGTGCTATTCATTAGGTACATTTCATTCTTTGCCAGTGTTTGACCAGTTTATGAATTCCATGTCATCTTTGAGTATGAAAAAGTACAATTTTTAACAAGTGTTTATGCCCACTGTTCCCAAATAATAATTTTAAAATCCTACTCTCATGACTTTGTTGATTTTGGAGTAAAATGAAGTATTCTTCTTTTTTAAAATCTTTTCGTATAGACGGGGTCTCACTCTGTTGGCCAGGCTGGTCTGGAACTCCTGGCCTCAAGCAAACCTCTTCTCTCAGCCTCTAAAGAGCTAAGATTTATAGGCATGAGCCTCGGAACCCAGCCTAAAAGATGTAAAAGGCAAAGGAGACATGCTTCATAAAATGTTACTTCTTGGCTGCCTTTTCAAAAAATACATGGAAAAACTGAAAGAATATAAAATATATAAGAAAGTATTGATCATTCATAGACTACATGTACATAGGAAAAATAAAGAAATAAATGAAGGAATTTACTAAATGTAACTATCTCTTGAACATCATTTTGTGTCCAAATCCCTGGTGTTAAACACTGTAGTCCACACAATGATAAATAAGAAAGAGTCCTGGATTCAAAAGAAAATAGTCCAGAGAAGGAAATAAGTCATGAATAAGGCATGAATTTAAGCTACTACGTGGTGAAAAGTTTTGTAGTGTTTCATTTGAGGGAGCTATGTCTGGCTGGAAGAATCAGAAAAGACCATGCAGGAAGCAGAATTTGTGCTTGAAGGACAGGAATCCAGAGGAATTACCAGAAGTGGTAAATGTAAGGCATGTACTGAGTACACAGAATATTTCGGTGCGATTGGAATACAATCTGTTAATAAAGGATGTTTAGAAATAACTGGGTAAATGTTCATCGAATCAAGATCATAGAAAACCCAAATGCTGGATACTGATTGAATAGACAGACAGCTGGTACCCTAAAATGACGATAGCAGCAACAAGAACATTATTTTTGGAGGACAAAAAGAAAGATTGATATGAGAAGAGATTACATGTGGAATCCAGGTGGGTGGTTTTGTAACAGCTCAGGGACAGGATGGGGAGCACCTTCCCGTACCAGGGAAGAGCAGTAATGGTACTGAGAAAGTTTATAGGATGCCATGCTCCAGAGGGAGGAATCCACGGCACCCGGCAAACAATCAGGGGTAGATAATAAGGGACAGAGAGAAGTGAAGTAAATCTGAAAATCTGGGACTTGTGTTTAGGAGATGATGCTAATGCTATCAGAACTGTAGAAATTAGAAATGTAAGAATTTTGGGGGTGGACAGATACATCAAAAAGATGATTAATTTTTACCGATTCTTTTAATAAATGTTTGTTGATATTCTATTCTGTGCCGGAGGCTATGGAGTTAAATGCCGGGGATGAAATGCTCAGTGCAAACAGATGACAGTTCATTGAGGAACACAGCTTTGACGCTTGGTAATATAAAGAAATATAAACTTGAAAGTAATAAATGTGACAAGCACTTGAGACCAGAGAAGAAGTGCTTCTAGGGAGATTATTTCACCCATTAAAAGAGCTCTTAAACTGAAATCTGAAGAATAAGTAGAGGGATCAAACAGATGAAGATGGCAGCAGAAGGCCTTCTAAAACAGAGGTCGTGTGTATGCCGCTACAACCACTTACACGGCCAGGTGCGGGGGCTCAGGCCTGTAATACTAGCACTTTGGGAGGCCAAAGCAGGCAGATCACTTGAGGCCAGAGGTTCGAGACCGACCTGGCAAACATTGTGAAACTCCATCTCTACTGAAACACAAAATGTTAGCTGGGCATGGTGGTGCACACCTGTAATTCCAGTTACTCAGGAGGCTGAGGCACAAGAATAGTTTGAACCTGAGAGGCGGAGGTTGTGGTGAGCTGAGATTGTGCCACTGCACTCCAGCCTGGGTGACAGAGCCAGACTCTGTCTCAAAAACAAACAAACAAACAAACAACAACAAAAACCTCTACAGAATCTGACAGACCAGAAGGAAGATGGTTGTATAAGACGTGGAAAGATGGTCATGTTGCTGGAGCAGAGGCAAAAGGAGAGGAGGTGCAATCTCAGAAAAGAGGGGAAAGAAAGCGTGACATCACGTACATCCTGAGAGTTTGTGTTAAGCTAGGAGCAACAGGATGACACTGAAAATGTTTAAGCATGAAAGTGTCATAATCAGAGGGCAAAGTGATCATGTAGTCGTGAGATGTGTGTGGTCGTGAGAAACAGGAGAAGTGAACCTGTTTAAGAATATTTCAGAGGAAAAAGAATACATTTTTATGATATGATATGCATTAGAGAGAAGGAAAAGCCAGGGTAATTTCTATGTTTTTGTATTAACCAGTGGGATAAACGAGATGAGCATCAGTGGAAAAGGTTCACATAAGAAGAGGAAACTATCAGCTGAGATTTGGACGTACGCAATTTAAGCCAATAAGATAATTTCCAATTTCCAAGTAGATATACCCATAGCCATTAAAAATGAAGAATAGATATTGCTGGGGTTGGGGAAAAGGTCTAGAGATAAAGACCTGAAAGTCATTGGCACAGAAGTGGTAGTTGAAGCCATTAGAGCAAATGAAATCCTAAAGCAGAATGAGATGAGGGAGACAAAAGACAGAACTTTAAGAAATATCTGCCTAAGAAAATAGAAGGAAGACATTCCTAAAGGTTGGCAGGGAAGAAACAATCAGAGAGATTGGGAGTAGACTAATTGGAATAATAAAACTCTATGGAGGTTCATGAAGACCTAATTACCCATATTGTTCATGTATAGTCCCTCTTATGTATTTAATTATATGAATGGCATTAAGATGTGCAAACATTAACTTTGGTTGTCTAGACTCCTTCCCTCCACAACTTCAACACACACACACACACGCGCGCGTGCGCACACACACACACACACACCTGTTCCCCTCCTGTGTTAGGTAAATATGAGGTAACTGGTTATGAAAGTTACTCTTTATTGTCCTCAACAATAGGTCTGTATTTAGACAAACAATTCTTGCTATATTCTATGAAGTTCTATGAAAAATAGAAAGAGAAAAATTATCTCCAGCATTAAGTGTCAAGAAACTACAGCCAATATTTGTCTGCATTTAACTTATAGAGAGATTGTGGCATGGGGCCAAGTTAACTCAACAATAGACAGTACCAGCAACGTAACAACAAAGTCACCAGACTTACATGAAAACTCTAAAAGGATATTTGCTGTATTGTTCTTGCCCTTGGAATGCTCCTTCCTTCCCTTCCTGTTTTGTTGCTGCAAGAGGATGTCAGCTCAGATTTGCTGTCATT